ATATATTACATTATATTATATATAATAGCCTGCTTTTTATATACATACATATATATACGTGGGTCCTTTATAAATATGCCAGTAACATTGCAAAGCATTACCGTGCATCATTCTTAACCTAGGGATATTCAGATGCAATCAAGTAATTAATGAACAGCCTGTCAGAGAAACAGTCACATGAAGAGGAATGCTCGAGAGCACCGAGAAAACTTCCAACACACATTTCATACAGTATCTTAACTACTGAGCAATTCTTCACCTTCCTTTGAAGCATCTGGTCTTAGTGCCATGGCTTCCCACAAGTGCTGAAGCGAATTGATGTTTTGATTAATTTTGATGTTCCTCTGACATTTCTGACAACTATGTAATGATCTAGTTTGTTGTGTCAAGCTCTAGTCGATAGTTTTACATCTACACCTTATATTTAGTAGTTAAAATTCACCAAGAACGTTTTTTGCTGCATACACATTAGCAGATTACTTCACTTCTTTTTCAGAAAGTGCCTTAAACCAAGCTTAGACTAGCTAGCCCACCTTATTAAATAGTCTGCTTCCTGAAACAAGTAACCCAATACTTTCATTTATAAAGTATCTGCTTGCACACATAATAAAAATTGTGTATCCGATGATTCTTTTCTAGCATTTCTATTGATGCTTATGCCATAGCCATACTTAAAAAATATCTTTCAGTACTTCGTGCCTAATATAATCTATTTCATTAAACAACGTTTTTGGAACTATAGCAAAAAATAACACTAAAAAAGCAGCTTACCAGTCCTGCTGCATACATGGGTACTATAACAGGCTGTTTCTTGTTGCCTGTAAAGAGCTGATAAAACAACAACAAAAAATTTACTAAGAGTTTCCTGTGTCAGTGATGATAATATTTTTCAGTGTCGTATAACTTGTATAGGGTTAATATCAGAGAACAAATACTACGTTAATTACAACACAATGGTTAAAAACTAAAGCAACTTTTAATATTAAAGGGCTTATAAAAGGTTGTCAGATGGTCTGTTGTAAAAACGGTGTTCAGTGCAGCTATGCAATTAAGAGACAAGCATGCATACAAAGACTTCCACCTGAATCTACATTTAAAGCAGCTCCATTATATAGAAAACAAGTTTTATAGACAGACTCACAATATTTCTTGTGTCGATTCCCAAGGAGCACAAAAGCTTTTTGTTGCTGTGGGAGCCACCCCACTGATATCTCAGTCCATATGCATCATGGATATCCTGCAGCTCTGTCCACACATCCATCAGTTCCCTAAAATCAAGTTATCAAAAGGAATAACAGCTTCATAGCCTTGAATACTTATACTAGTTTGTAATGCAAGTGATTTATTATACATTCCAATTAAACTTACACCCAAGCACAATACGCAGGGGAACTAAAACTGCAGTGTTCTCAGCACAATTTTAGTTCAGACTTCTTATTGGAAAATGAAGTCCAGAGCAGACAGGACAAGGCCTACTGAGACTTCATCACATGAATAAATATAGCACTTTATATCCAATGTGACTAATACGACATATTCTGATTAACTCAGAGACATCACTTAAAAGATGATATGCTGCTGACTAAGTTGATATGCTAAGTGAAATATTCCTGGCATATATAGCCACTAAAAACAAGCATTCTGCTAGGATAACTGATTTTCACTCTATAGTTTTTCAAAGTGCTTGAAATAAACAGCTTATTTTGAATTACTGCTATATATTTTAAGTTCCTACAGACACATTTCTATTTCCATTTTAAGTGTGTTGCATTGTGGTTTCTTACCCAGTATTTGATAAGGTCTCCTCGGTTGTCATCTGCTTTTCACCTGCTTCCAACAAATGATTCAAGGAACTTATTTCTTCTTCAATTTCAAGAACAGGCATGGAAGGAAAACAGACTTCAAATATTCGTTCCAGACGACTTAGTAATGTTGTCTATATTAAAAAGAAATTATTTATGTCAAGTTAACTGCTTTAAAGGAGTCCACAATTATAACAATAAGATGGAAAACAACATATAGCTAACACAAAGTTTCACTTACCATCAAATATTTAACTGTCAGAGCATCCCAAATCTTTATAAGTACCAAATACAGGCTGCTAGCTACTGGGAACAGTAAGGATTTTGCCCTCTGCAAAGCAAGTTCTTACAGAAAGTCTGGAACAGTTCTTACAGAAAGTCTGGAACAGTTCTTACCAGAGTTACTCTTTGGTAAGAATTAGCAGAAAACAGGCGCAACAAGTATTTTGCTGTATTTATTTCAGATATGTTAAAGCCTCCACGCCTATACATGCTAAGGGTTTTACTGAACATCTTTTTGGCAAGCTTAGGATTGATCAATATAATTTCCACTCCATGACAATACACTTCAATCCAAACTTGAGACATAACGTTGATTCAGAAGACAGATTCACTTCTTATATGCAGTTAGAGGTCTCACAAAACAGCGTGACATGGAACATTTGCTCATGATGTGACAACAACTCTGAAAACAGTAAGGAAAAACTATCTGTAGTCCTAAAAACCTGTCAGTATCAATGACTCAGATGTAAGAAAACTATAATCCCCATCTTCATTTGGTTCAGTTTATGTCATGGTCAGGTGTAATGCAGGAACCAAGACTAAGGCATTGCTTGTCAAAAGGTATTTGTAAGACTTGTTTTGTACTTCTCCAGACCAAAAACCAAACAAATACCCCCTCCCACCTCAAGGCCTTAATTTCTTGCCCCCAAACCTGTTTGTCTGGTTTTATACATTACAGATTGCTTATTTAAATAGAAGAATTACTTTCTTCCAAGCAATTTCCTTTTCCTCCAATTCACGATTCAAGCAGTTAATGCCAAATGCTGTGATCTTGCCGGGGTTAAAAGACAACCTTGGAAGTGTTTCTATCCCAGCCAAATAACTCAAAAAACAAGAACACCACTAACTTTTATTTTAGCTGCATAAGAAGTCAGCTAGATAGCAGCATGGTTTGTATAACCACAGCTTTATCAATGTTACTCTCCTCTGACCTTCTTCCTGGTGCCTTGCGTTATAAACTCACACCAAGAGTATGTAAATACAAACACTCAGAAGTTTTGTGGGAAGGCTATGGGAAAGCTACAGATCTATATTCCACAGTTTTGAGAGACTAGGCAGGATTTCCTGCTTGTCAAAGTAGTTGCCACCATGTCTTGATGTCACCATTACTTCAGCATCCTTTGAGAGAAAGGAAACTTAAGCATCTTAGCAAAGCAGACAGGACTCTTATGTTTCATAATGCAGTGTCTCCTGCTTTTCTCTCCACCAGTGCCACTATCTCTGCTGTTGGGTAGGATAAGGTCTCAGTAATATAAACAGCACATATCTATACCAATGGTTTCCAGGCATTTTAATTCCACAGCATGTACCGGGTCTTGATAGATAAGATTTAATATTCAAAACAAAAAAACCCCAACAAAACCAAAACCCAAACAACCTCCTCCCCTTAGAAACCAAACAACCCCCCCCTTATTTTTTTGACAAGTTCTTCTGTATTTCCATCTAGACACAGAATTTCAACTTTATTATAGCTCTATGAACTATCTGCCTCAGACATCAGATGTAGCACTGACATGGAATGTATTTTTTCCCCCAGTTCAACCCATTACAAACAGGTTAACTGGCAAACTCTTAACATTTATTAAAAAGTGCCAATTGCAAGGTATGCTCACAAAAATGACACTAAAGCTTTTCTTTAATGTACCTGTTTTTTTTTTTTTTTTTACAAGGAATACCTGAATCTCTTCTTGCCAGAGGAAGGAAACACAAGCCTGGCGCAAACCCAACACTTCTATCTTTCTAATTTGGAGTTCCTCAACAGCCACCTTTCCAACGCTCTGCTGCACTGCACACAGGGCAGTGTCCAGCAGCTCCAATACCTGCTTTTCTACTGGGGAAATGGAAAAGAAAATGAGTAGGTAGAAATCCCACGAGCATCCCACAGTGTGTGCTAGTATAGCTATGGCAGCAGAGCCCTCCTGTGGAGATGCAGCATATTCCAGCAGCAACGCTGATTTACAAACATAAACCTTAGAGGTATTTTGTTACAACTGAAATGATGTAAGGTTCAGAGAAGTAAGGCTGGTAGGTGGAAGCTACATATTTTAATTAGACCAAGCAACACAGTTGGGATAAACCTTTATGCTTCGCGATTATAACTTACCAACAACATTTCGCACTAGACTTTTAATCTGAAAATTTGCTTCATCTCAATTAAGCAAACCGCTGACTATGTACATCAGCAAATACAGCATAGGAAACATAACAAACACCATGTTAATGGAATATCTTGATTCTGTATTGGAGTCAGGATGACGAGTCAGGAACTAGGAACCAAGTCTGTTCAGTCTATTCTCTCTATTCAGCTGCTAACTGCAAAAAGTGGGAAAAAGAACTTGCTTACAACATCAGCTCTTCAGTTTTGCTATCTGTGGAAGAAATGCCTGATGGGGACAGGCACCAGGTTCAGTTATTTGCAAAACATAATGTCAAAATGCCGTAATTATTATACTATTAAAGGATCTGAACTACACAGCATACTTAATCTCCTTTTTCTTTTCTCCTTTTCCTCTTCATTACCTTAGTGGGATATTTTGCCCATAATGAGTGATGTTCTACAGAATGTAATTTTCCTTTTAATCATCTCTTAACACCCAATCGTTTCAGCCATACAGTAAGTTACAATACTTGTCACATTACTTATAGGCTGTTTTGCATTTCTTGACCAGAACTAAGACACTAATTTACATTTTTAAGAAGTAAAACTATACAGTATCTCAGATTCTAACCTGACATTTCAGCACACAAAAGCACACTCTACCTAAGTTTTGAACCTTAATTTTGCCTACAATATATCATTTGCCCCATCACATGAACAGGTGATGCATACTTCATTTCTGTAATACAACAGGAATACATATCCCCAGTGAAAAGCAAGAGGCAGATGAAAGGCACTGGATCATGAAAACAGCAAGGCATCATGTTTCCTGGAAAGGATCAGTATTTCAGAACATGCTAGTGACTAAGAATATGCTCGCTTAGGTAATGAAAGAATTAACAGACAGCCTCTAAGAACCAAGCAGCATCTCAGCCAGCTCCCAGTTTCAAATTTGAACTTAAGAATTGTGCCAAAATTTCAGGAACAGTTTAATTATAGCTTCTTTACACTTCCTTTCATCTTTTCTGCATTTCCAGAAATGCTTAGCCCTTACTTATATACGATGGAGAAGAACGGTTTCCATAGCAAACCAGAGTAATTAATTCTATGTGTGCAAATGGACACAGGGAAGAGCATATAAACACAAATTTCCCAGGCAGTGGCAGTCTCCTTAATGGGGAAACAGCTGAACTTGTTCTTCTAATTGGTAATGAAATCCTGTGGTCACAACTCCCAGGTATTAAGGGCATTACCAAGGTTTTGAAATTAGTGTAATGCTCATCTTCTACAAACCTCAGTCTACTGCTTGTACAAAACAGACTAAAAAAGTATTATTTCTGTCATACACCGTAGTGTCACCTCTTTCAGTGTGAAAAAAAGGCAGAAAAGACAAAAACTTCTATTTTTCATGTCACTAAAAGCATTTGATACCCAAGTGTTCTCCATTGCCATTTGAGAAGATTAATTCTTAAAAGCACTTACTGAAGACATGAATGAAGGCTACAGCTGCCATATTAAAAATTAACTGTGATTCTCCAAACAGTGACAAGCTCAAAGCCCCATAGTTTCTGTGACTACATAGAAGTTTTTGGTAAACACTTAAGATATGTGGTAATCACCAGTTGAAACAATCAAAATATCACAGACCTAACAGAATTCCATGTAAGAATGATAACCACAGGATTAGAATTTATCTCCTCAGCAGTTAAAAAGGGGGCAAGATCCAGCCCACAGAGCTGAAAGGCCAAAGTACTTGGTTTACAGAATTTGTTTTTCTCTTCTTTTCCACCACAAGACTATAGAACCAATGAACTCCTTCAACACAGCAAATTTACACGGGCCACCCAGCATGCTAAATCCTCCTCAGCTGACTCCAGGTCACCTCAACATTGACAGGTTGCTGCCTTTCTTCAGAGCTATGAAAAGAGAAGATACTAAAACTTGACATAAAGATAACATACTTGGGCCACACTACAGAAACAGTTGATAGGAATTGCAGTTTTCACCATATGACTGCTGCAATGTTTCTCCTGGTGAAGTTCTGGGGAACTCCATGTACAGGGGTTGCTGGGGAGAATCCCAACAGTCTTCTTGCTTTCTTCCATGGTCCCAATTACACATGAGCTGTGGAGCAGACACAAGAGCTCATCCAGCGAGCTTCTCCTTATGTTGGGAGCTGAACAGTGGAGTGGTACTTTGTCCCTTTTTCTTCCTCACTTTCCATTGGGCACCACTTCTCTATACACAATCCCTCTTTTCCCCACTCTCAGTTATAGCCCACAACATCTCTGCTCTGGCAGCCTTCAGAGGTGCTTTAAGGGGAAGAGTTGAAAGCAGGGCACACCTTCAGCCCTCCTTTTTCCTGCTGCCAGGTAAAGAGGCTACAGCGGAAGCAGCACTCAAGCTCTGGACTGGTTGCATCTATCAAACACAAAACTGGAAGATATAAGGATAAATAAAACCAGTGTAACAGTTAAATTTATTGAGTATATTTTGATATTCAAGTTAGAAAAACATAAGAAAGGAAACAGAAATGAGCATATGAAGGATCCAAGATGCTAAAGGTATAATTTAGGAAAGGAATAAAGTCCATATGGACACGATCAGCTCCTAGTTAGGATTCAGAAGCCAAGCAAAGTCTCTCAAAAGAAACAGCAGAACAAAGCTCAGGGGCCAGAAGCCAAGAAAAGAAACTGATTAACCAGGAAGATTTTATGTATTTATTTTAAATCAGGAACCCACTGCTCCGGAGAG